GGTGGGCGGGGCCTATAGGGGAACGTGATGTGGGCGTGGCTTTAACAGGTGTGTGGGCGGAGCTTGAAGGATCATGTGACATGGGCGTGGCTTGAGCAGACACATGACATGGGCGGGGCTTAAAGGGGCGTGACACAGTGGGCGTGGCTTAAAGAAAGTTATGTGGGCGTGGCTTAAAGAGACACGTGACGTGGGCGTGGCTTAAAGGGACAGGACACAATGGGTGGAGCTTAAAGGGACAGGACACAGTGGGCGTGGCTTAAAGAACAGCGATATGGGCGTGGCTTAAAGAGACACGTGAGATGGGCGGGGCTTAAAGGGACAGGGCACAATGGGCGGGGCTTAAAGGGACATGGCGGGGTGGGCGTGGCTTAAAGAGACACGTGACATGGGCGTGCCTTAAATGGACAGGACACAGTGGGCGTGGCTTAAAGGGACACGTGACATGGGCGTGCCTTAAAGGGACAGGGCTAATTAAAAGCCCGGCTGGGCGTGGTTTTTGCTGGGCGTGGCCGATGCGGGCGGGGTTTTTTTGGGGGGGTGGGGTGTGGGCGTGGCCCCGCCCCTCCCCCCTCACCTGCGTAGCGCAAGGTGAGGCCGAGCTCGCGCAGGAGCCGCAGGTCCCGGGGCACCGTCTCGAGCACGGGGTCGATGATGACGGCGTCGCCCGAGCGCCGGTCGGCCAGCAGGTACGTGTAGGTGCACGAGGAGGCCTCGAAAAGCTGCCCCCAAAAAATTTAAAATAAATGTAAAAAATTTGAAAAATTGAAAAAAGTCGAAAAAAGTGAAAAAAAAATTAAAGTTGTTACGAAAAAATGGAAAAAAAATGGAAAAAAAATGGAAAAAAAAATCAAAAAAGGGAGCAGGGACGTGGAGGTGCACGAGGAGGAGTCGAAAAGATGCCCCAAAAAAATTTGAAATAATTTAAAAAAATTAAAAAAAAAAAAAAATTAAAAAAAAATTTAAAGTTGTTACAAAAAAATGGAAAAAAAATGGAAAAAAAATGGAAAAAAATGGAAAAAAAAACATCAAAAAGGAGCAGGTACGTGTAGGTGCACGAGGAGGCCTCGAAAAGCTGCCCCAAAAAAATTTAAAATAAATGTAAAAAATTCAAAAAT